CGCCCGGCCCCGCCCACCGCAGGCTCCAGGGCAGGGGCCAAGTATGACTCATCCCGGTGCCCCCCGCACTCAGACCTCCGGACGCCACAGGCTTCCATCAATATTTGTCCCTTTAGACCACGACGCCAGTTCCTTCTCCCCAAAATCCTATCCAGCTCCCAATTTTAGAAAAAAGCCCGGGGGCCCCTTTGGGAAGCTGCTGGGCAGTGCTGGCGGAGAAGGGTGCACCTGGAGGAGAGGCGCCCCTCCCACCCCACAGCTAAACAGCTGGGACTTTTCCAGGCTGAAAGCTTTACCCACGGTCAGAACTTGGGTTGGGGTGCGATGGGTGAGGGAGAAAAGAAGCCCCAAGATTTGGAATCAGAAGCTGCCCGGACCCCCTCCCCATCCCTGCACCAGCCGGAACCAAGAGCATGGGAGGAGTGAGTCACAGGTTGGAAGAAAGGGTTGCCAGGGCGGGCAGGGCCCAGCAGGATGCCAGTGGGGCCTGGAGGTATGCCACGGGCAGGGCGGCCGAGAGAAAGGGAGCGACCCCCGTCCGACCCCAGGCACAGCGAGGCTCACAGGCAGAGCCCTCACCTTGTCGATGAAGGAAGCAAACTTGTTGTTGAGGGTCTTAATCTGCTCCTTCTCCTGGTTGCGCACCGCCTGGATGGTGGGGTCCACCTCCAGCTTCAAGGGGCTCAGCAGGCTCTGGTTCACTTGGACAGCCGTGATGCTCCCCATGTTCCCAGCCCCGCCGTAACCCCCGGCCAGACTCATGTTGGTGCCCAGGCCGACCCGGTAGCCGCTGCCCACCCGGGAAAAAGACGAGGAGCTGATGCGGGTGCCGGGCCCACTCGAGTACGAGCGGCTGCTGAAGGCCCGGGGGCCAGAGGTGGACACCTTGTAGGTCTTCTGGGTCACCCTTGTGGACATGCTGGAGGCTGGAGTGGAGGCGAGGAGGCCGAACCAACAGAGACTCGAGAAGGAGCCAAAAGCTGTTTGTAAGTGGGGGTCAGCATGGCCCTTTATAAAAGAGGGCCCAGCCCCAGGGCGGGGGATGGGCCTCGTACCTGAGTGGCCAGGCCCTGAGGAGGCCGGGCCTAACCCGACACCTGCCACCTACAGCCCGACTCAGGTGGGGGCAGCAGAGAGCTACTCCCACCCCGGAGCCCATTCCGGCACCACCCCAGAAACCCACGAAAGAGCACTTCGGTGAATGTGAAACGCAGGCACCCGGTGGCCTTGCACTAGTTTCCTGTAACAGACACTGGCCAGGGATCACCCAGCCACTGCAACCCTGACTCCTGAGTCGTGTCTCCTTCCCGCCTGTGGGAAATCAATGCAAGCACTGAGAAGCACAGCAGGACAGCCATCCCCCCTGCCATCTGGGTCTCCTGTGAGCAGCTGACATCCCGTGTTCTTCTTTCCAATTTGAGCGACTGTGAAGGTCTGCCCAAGGCTGGAGGACAGGAAACCTGGGTTCTGAATCCTTGAACCTGAGGTCAACCATTTGCCTAGTCTCTCCACAGTTACTGTTATATTGGTGCAGTGCCAAGAGGGGCTAGGTAAATATTTGTGGAATGAACACACACACTCACACACACACACTGGCAGTCTTCCCTCTGGGTCTGTAGGTACAAGATAAAGTGAGATCCAACACAGCACTTTGCCTGGACACAACCCAGTACCCTCTCTTTTCCCACGATCTCAGGATCCCCAGAGCCAGGCTGAACACTGCAGGCCTTGCTGGAGGGCACAGGGGATGAAGAACGAGAGCTAAAGAGGTAGAGTGGGCGAGCTTAGGAGAGAGGCTGCTTTGGGGTCTTCACTGTTCTCACTGTTCCTTGGGGGAGTCGTTCCCATAGCTCCCAGTGGGCGAATCAGGAAAGGAGGCAGAATGGGGTAGGGTGAAGGAGGGGATTG